GAAAAACAGACAATTTACTGTCTTTTCATGATGTAAGATACTACATTTAGGGCAAAAAAAAAATGAAATGTAGAGATATAGGATGGGGGACACCTGACTTGACATGTGAAAGGGATCTTGGAGTCCTAATAGACCACAAGTTGAACATGAGTCAACAGTGTGATGTGGCAACTAAAAAAGCCAATGCAATTCTAGGCTGTATTATTAGAAGTATGATATCTAGATCATGAGAAGTAATAGTACCACACTAGTCCACTTTGGTCAGGCCTCACCTGGAATATTGCATCCAGTTTTGGACACCACAATTCAAAAAGGATGTCGACAAGCTAGAGCATGTCCAGAGGAGGGCAACCAAAATGGTGAAGGGTCTGGAAACCATGCCCTACTAGGAGTGACTGAGGGAGCTGAGTATGTTTCGCCTGGAGAAGAGAAGGCTGAGAGGTGATATGATAGCCCTGTTTAAATATTTGAAGGGATGTCATATTGAGGATGGAGCAAGCTTGTTTTCTGCTGCTGTAGAGACTAGGACATGGAACAATGCATGCAAGCTTCAAGAAAAGAGATTCCAGCTCAACATTAGGAAGAACTTCCTGACAGTAAGAGCTGTTTAACAGTGGAACACACACCCTTGAAGTGAGGTGTAGTCTCCTTCTTTGGAGGTTTATAAACAGAGGCTGGATGGCCATCTGTTGAGGGTGCTTTGATTGTGAGTTCGTGCATGGTAGAGGGGTTGAGCTGGATGCTCCTTGTGATCTTTTCCAGCTCTTTGATTCTGATTCTATCATAACACAAACCTGCTGCCTAAGGGAGCTGTCATACCCATTGGTAGGAATGGCCCTGTATGTGTGTAAGATGTAGCTCTGAGATGTTTACTCCTTTGTGTGTCCTGCAAAATTCACAGTCACATGGAATGCTAATTTGTCCTACCCATACCCTCAGGATCACATTTTCCGCATAGTCCAGTAGATTTCCAGATGTCACTTCATGTAGAGAATTTAAAGTCACGGGACTCTGCCATGTTATGGAGAGAGGTTGGAAGAATTGACTGGCGGTGGAAAGAAGAGATGGCAGGATAATCCCAAAGCAGCTTTCAGAGTTGACAAAAACACCTCCAGATCTACCTGCATCTGTGACGGAAGCAACATCAGAGAAAGATCTAGTTACACTACACAGCTAAACCATGGGAACTGTAGCTTTGTGTGGATGTTCACACAACCATGACACAGATTATTAACACCTTCAGAAACTATAGTCACATGTTTCTCAGGGGAAGTCAGAGTTGTAGTATATAAGCATGCCCTAAATTTTGAATTCAAGGCAGATTAAAAAAAAGTGAGATTCAAAGGCGAGGCACAAAGTTTGCATGGTTGGATGTGGATGTGGGTGTTCTTGGCTGAGATGGCATGTGACTATTGTGGAAAACTTGTGGTTGGATGGGAAAATTATCAGACAGACATGCAAATTTGGTCTGAAATGTTACTCCATGATACAAGAATTTTTGCTTTAAACTAGCTGGGAAGAAAATAATAACACAGATAGAGGCCAGTTTGGGCTCCAAAGTTCTTCCATGCCCATTGGTGGAGTCATACATCTGACCAATAGAGACGCTGCTGTTTTCCATCTCCTGATCCCCTTGTCCTGTTTGAGCCACAAGAGTGAGACTAGGGCAGGGGCTATTTTTGAATTTCTGTCTACACAGTGACATGATGATGGCAGTCCTAATTCAAGGTCCATCAGTGTAGTCAACTGCAGTGTCGGCGATATAATATTCTGGCATGCTTTAAAGTCCACCATCTTGTTCAGTAAATTATGCTGCATCTCTAAAGGTGTCACAGAACTGCAAATGGCAAAGCCATTTTTTAAAAAGTTGCTCTCCATTGAAAGGACAAGTAAAAAATGTTTCCAGAAAAAAAAAGGTTCATTTGGCACCATCCCAGTCTGGAAGGGAAATGTATTTATGGAGAATGAGTCCCATCTAGTTGTCCTTATTGTTACTTGCCTTTAGGGTATTGCATGATCTAATAAATGGTGTCACAAAGTACTCCAGCAAAGATTACACTTACCATGTAGTAGGATTATAATGCAACAGTGAACTTGGGCCCAGACATCTTGTTGTTGTGAACTGTTATCTTTATACTCCAGGATTTTGTCTGGTTCCTTCATAGTTGCCCTTCCAAGTTCTAATCTTCTTCTGATTTCTTGACTGCGGTCCCCATTTTGATGAATGATTGAGCCACCATGTTAATGTTTGGAAGTTGTTCCAAACTTCACTGCTGTTGATGACAGAAGGACTTGGAGATCTCTCATTCATAGGGTCATCATGAGCCAAAGTCAACTTGACAGCAGTCAGCAGCAACAACAACACTCCTATGGTTGACCATTATATTTGCAAACAAATGCAAATGTTTCACAATTTATGTATGCTTCCAGTATTCCATTCATTGTGGGGAAAACTTAAAAGAACTAAAGCAAAAGTACCAATATGATTCCACAGCTCCCCATTTACTAGAATTGTTGGAGGTTTGAAGGCAGGGAGGTGGGAGTGTTATCTAGGTTCGTTGCCCAGTGTGCCTTAGGCCCAATTCAAGAAACACACCAGGATGGAGATCCAACTATTTTATTTTACAGTGCAGAGAAAAGTGCAGGGACAATATTTCCTCAAAGCAAGGACACCAGATGCAGCTGGCATTTTAGCATTTATACCTGTTCTTAGGGAAATTAGCAAAGAAACTCATCCACAAGGAGTGGATCAATCATATAACTTGTACATGCGCACAACATGTATCACTTATTGCCATCCTACAATAAGCTCCATTATCTAAGCTCTCCACCTTTGGGTGTGATTTATTAGTATGCCAATGAGCTACTTTAGTTGACCCTACACATATCATTGTGTTCAGGTCTTATCACTACGGTTTCGAGAACATTTCTATTTCTTGGTGGAAACTACTGACCATTCAAAGATTCTTTGGTATGCAATTCAGCACTTGAAGGTTTTATTGTTGTTGTTATTGTTATTTTGAAATATTCAGTTTCTCATCAGGTGCAGTCTGTCCCAGGTACAGGCAATAAAGAGGTGCATTGTGGCAGGACCTAGAGCAGTCTGTCTGGTGCCAAAGTTTGAAAGCTGGAAAATGGGAGATGTACTCCAGTGTTATTGTGGAACAAAATATGTGTTAAGCCATGTTGCTGTAAAAAAGAATATATATATATATATATATATATATATATATATATATATATTCAGCTGATGTTTGGGGAAAACCCTTCTTCACGATCTAATTCTTCTTTTTCCCTTTTTCGGTTGCTGTAGCCAGAGTTTCTAACATGAGAACCCATGATATGCAATGGATGTGACACTCAAAACTCTGACTACAACAGAAAAAAGAGAAATGGAAGAATTAGCTTGTGAAGAAGGGTTTTCCCAGATGCATCAGCTAAATAAGTAAATAAATAAATAAGCCTTTTTTTACAACAACATGACTTAACACACATTTTATGCTACAAGAACACTGGAGTACATCTCCCATTTTCCAGCATGCCACAGCGTTCTTTTCCTTCAACTCTCCGCCAAAGTTTGAAAGCCACTGAGGCAAGGGTGGCAGTGGTGAGGGGACCAGTCTGAGACTCTGCTAACCAGACCCTTGAGGAGACCCAAGCAGATTTCTCAGCTATGGTCTCATTGTTGCCCTAACAGTGGTGGCTCTAGCTTCCTAGCTGCCACCTCCATCCCTACAGAAAACCATGGTAAGCTGCAACTTGAGCTGTGACAGCAGCAGTATGGTGATGTGGCTCTCAGATCAGCAAGCTCCCTAGCAAGCCTAGTATCTTGTCCAGCAACAGCTTGGGCTATTCAGTGGTGATGCAGGCTTGGGCACGGAGCTCAAAGACTGTTGAAGAAGAAAAGGGGAAGAAGCCACCACAGAGGCAGAAGCAGAAGAAGGAAATTGAGGTGGCAGTGGTGACAGTCTGGGGCTTTGGCTCAGGTCTGGATGCCCAGCAGAGAGTCTTCAAATGGGCCTTGTCGCAGTGGTGGAACCCCAAATTCAGCTTCAGCAACTTTGAGGAGGCCTGCCTGGAGCCCTTCGTCCCCCACCTCTCTCAGAGGTGTTTAAAAAGTGATCCGCTGAGCATCACGTATGCTAGGTAAGCCACCGGGGCAGCCCCTACTAGCTGACTCTGCTTTTGTGGTGAGATTACTGGAAATGTTTTTGTGATATCTGCCCTTTTAGTTCCTCTTTTACATATGTGCAAATATGCACACCGAACATGGGGAAGGAAGCAAGGATCCCAACAGGGTTAGTTCTGAAACCCATATCAGTTCCACTAAAGGCAAACACCATGACTTTCAGATCCACCTGTTGGCCCTACCAAATCTGAGATGAGTTTAACTCAGTTGATACCTGAGGGTGTGCACTGGCGGGGGTGTGTGGGTGTGTGACCCATTGCTAGTAGCCACCAGCCATCACAACAATAAAATAGAGATGAGGAATCTGTAGCCCTCCAGATGCCTACCCTCCAACTGTCTGGATTTGGAAGGGACAGTCCTGATTAAACCTCTGTCGTCCCACTTTTTCAGCCACTTTTTAAATGTCCCGTATCATTCTCCTCCTCCCACTTTCCATCTTTGTTCTTGGCTTACTGCAATTGCTGCAAAGTGAGTTCAAAGTACAGTACAAAAGTAGTTTGCACTCAGTTAACCCAATAGTGGGAAAAGAAGAAGAGGCAGCAAAATCTTGCCTTTCCCACTAGGCTCAGGCAAAAGCAATTTTCTGCAGTTTCTCCAAGCTGGCGTGCTCTTTGTCTCCAATAACTTCCACCATCTTGACTACTCTTGACCACAATTATCCTGGTTTTTATCTATGGAATATTGGAGGTTATTTCTGACTTATGGCGACCCTAAGGTGAACCTTGACAAGATTTGTTCAAAGGGCTTTGCCTTTGATTTCTTCTGTGGCTGAGAAAATATTACTTGTCCAAGATCACCCAGTGGGTTTCCATTGCTGAGCAGGGATTTGAACCCTGGTCTCCAGAGTCATAGTCCAACAAGCAAACCACTACACCATGCTGGTTATCACTTCAGGGCCTCCATACTTTGAATCAATACTGGTAACAGTATGTTACATAGGAAAATATAAAATAGTAGCTGGGTTAAGGACTCATTCACTGCATGATGTATCCTAAAAAAAATTAAAATTATTCTGCTTCTGTTTAAAAAAGGTACTAGTAAAAACAGAAGAGCATAAGTGATACAGGAAAGCATAAAGTTTTCAGTTCCTCAAATGTTTCAAGGCATAGATGTTCCCCAGGGAAGGAACCTGCTTGTGACATGAAAAACTAAAATCATCAGTATGGGTGGCTTTTGGACATGCTGTGGGTTATTCAAATGAGACGTTCTGTTTCCACCTTTCAAAGGGTGATAGCATTTCTATGAAGGGTGCAAGAAAGAGCTAATCTAAGAGGAGGCTCATCTGGTTGGTAAAATGCACCAATTGGTTGGCATCCTAAATGTAACTCGGAGACTCAACTGGGCAGTTGCCTTGAGATTAGAGAGCAAAAGGAAGACACATTCTGACCTCTGCCACTGGGGCACTTTCACACTACACAATGTATAGTGCTATCCTTCCATTCTAACTGCCATAACAACATACTATGGAATCCTGGGGTTTGTAGTTTTGCTCTCTGGCTGGAAATTCTAAATACAAATTCCTAAGCTGCAAATCCCAGGATTCCACAGGATGTTGCCATGGCAGTTAAAATGGAATTATAGTGATGAAACTGTGTCGACCAAGGGAGGTTGCACCCTTTGCCCTCCCAGGCAAGATATGACAAAATGGAAACCAATAGGGCTGCTAGGTTAGTGCCATTCCAAGTCCTGAGATTTTTAGGGCCAAAATCTGAACCAAGAGGCTACCCTTGATGATTATCCATAGCGATGTCAAAGGAGGAAGAGCCTGGCTATGTCATTAAGCATGGCATATTAAGCATCAACCACAGTTGCTCTTTTAAAAACGAAACCCTAAGGTAGGAGAACACACACACACACACTTTTCAAGGCAGTACTCTCATCCTAAGATTCCTTCCCCATGCCCTGAGGATTGGAGAAGAAAGCTAGGCACCTGAGATCTGGGAATCCTTGAGACCAAGTAGCTCCATCCATCTGAGAGGAGAGCTTGCTTTTCCTTCCTGCCTGCCAGTACTCAAACTCCACTCCAAATGACGCTTCTTTCCAAAAAGCGCTGTGATTAGAAGCCAAACTGGGCAACTCAGTAAAATCCATCTATAGTATTTTTCATGATGCAGAGAAATGGGCGGGTGGTGTTGTCCTTTCATGGACATTTTACTTATGGGATGTTGAAAATGAGTGTTGGGCTTGCAAATCACCCAAGCTAGCCACATGATGTGGCAGATCAAAAAGCTTCATAAACTGCGCACTTCACTTTGAACAGGAATCACTTTGCTTTGGAAGTGGTTCAAACTCTTCCAGACTGGACTGGACTGGTTTTGATTTGGTAGCTGGACTTTGTTTGAAGCAGACAGACACCTTTAAATAGCAATCTGAAGGTCATCCAATCCAGAATTTAATCATACACTAAATTTGCTAAAATGGCTGGTGCTATTCCATTAACTGATCATCCTTGACTACATATGTGTGCGTAAAATAGAGACAGAGCATGAAAGTTATTCTTAACTTGTTACTAGTTCCTTTCCCCAATAATGAGTGTGAAGTAAGTCACAAGGGATAACATCATGATAATAATTAATGTTAATTGTGGCTTCTTAATAAATTTTATAGGTATAGAGGTTCAGCCACACTAAATGGTGAAGGAGGAATATCATACAATTCAATTACCAGATTTACCATTGCTTGCTGCTGTGCTGTGTTTTTTGAGACAACAATGAGATGGGCAGAGAAGAGCATGCTTTGTACCTCATCCCAGTAGATGATGTTTTCTTAAGCATCAAATGTAACTACTTCAGTTATTTTTGAGGAAAGGGAAAACAAAGAGTTTCTTTCAAAAACATGTACCTCAATAGGAACAAACTGCTTTGGGAACCTTTGGACTACAATGGTAATCAATTATTAGAGTGAGTATAATGCAGTGGTTTGAGTGTTGGACTAAGATGCTGGAGATCAAGGTTCAAATCCTCACTCAGCCATGGAAACCCACTGTATGACCTTGGGCAAGTCACATTCTTTCAGCCTTAGGTGGAAGGCAAAAGCAAACATCCTTTGGACAAATCTTGCCAAGAAAACCCCATGGTAGGGTTGCCTTTGGGTTGCCCTAAGTAAGAAAAAAACTTGAAGGCATGCAAAAACAACTTTCCAAAGTAACTTTCCCAAATACTTATGTGTGTCTAAAACAATGACAAATCAGCATGTCTAGAAAGAACTGGTCGAAGACATTTCACTGCATGAGGTGAAGAACTACTTCAGATACGAAAGTCAACTGGATTGACAGCTGAATCTTTCTTCAACACAGATGACCTCCAACTATATCTGACAGCAATGGTTTGGCTCACAGCAAAAGTTGTTTGGCACATAAAAGATACCTTTTCTAACAACTTGCTGTTCCCTCCCAGCATCTATTGCCTGAAGCACCAATTTCACTACCCGCTGGCAGGGCCAGATCTGTCTAGATTATCAGCATGGCCATATGAACAGACGAAACAGGATGGAGGGAAGACAAGCATCATAATATTAAAAGATAGCCAGCAAGTGGAGCTTCACTGGAATTCAGATTCTGTTGTATTAAGAGGTCCACAGGGATTACAAGACAGAAAGCAAGAGGATAAAAAGCCTGGTTTATTAGTATGGAAATGTACGCTGCAGGGAAAGTGTCTTCTGATGTGTCGCTTCTTGTGGAGAAGCTGGAAAATAGGGATGGAGAAGTAAGCTGTAGCTGAAAAAGTCTCAGTTTTGCTGGCATGAAAGGGAAAGAGGGGATCCATCTGTGAATGAGAAGAACAAAAAAGAGATATCACTGCATGGCATCTTTCCTATATGTAATACAAAAAGCTATTCTAAACATCCTTGTAGACATGAGATTCTACCCACTGTTCATACCAAATAGCAACCAGTTGTTTATTGGGTTGATTTGTCTGTGTGTATTTGCATAAGAGATACTAAAAAGTACATTGTGATCCCAGATTATTATTGTTACTACAACCTTTATTTATACCCACCCTTTCCCCCAAATCTGAGACTCAAGGTGAAAGAAGATGTTCCATTTCAAAAGTATTATAGTAAATAATAAGATCTGATAAGTGCAGGGCCTATGCTCAGATGTGGCAAGATAATCATTCATATATATTACATGCTGTAATTATTATAAATACTGGGGCTGAGCAGACGGGCCAGGATAGCACAGGCCAAGCCTGTATTATCTTAACCCAGTCCTAACCATTGTAAGCCTGAGTACAAGGAACTTTGTTGTTGTTGTTAACTGC